CCCCCCACGCGCCCCCCGTCATGCTCATCCAAGGCATGTGGCCAGCTGCCTCCGGGTTACTAGAACTATACCGATATACTTTGGAAAAGCCTTTTCTTACACGAGAAAGGAACCTTAGAGACCATTGAACTCCACCCCAGCTTTGAGCAGCAGAGGGAAGTAAGGCCCACGGTCCCACAGGAGTTAGCACGACCAGGCTAGGTCTCTTCCATCCTTTTTAGCTCAGTACTTGTAGTGTTTGGTGACCTGCCGTGGCTCCTCCGTTTCCTGAGTCCATCCAACTCCGCTCTCACCGCCACGTCAGCAAGGTGCATCACGGGTACATCCTCCGTCTTACTGATGAGAAGGAATGATGTACCAGGTCTTTGCACTGCCTGCCTTAGGCCTATAAAGCTGTACCAAATAGTGCATGTCGCATGTAGAGCAGATGGAAATTAAGGTTGAAAGGACAGGGGTTTATTCTTTTTCAATTTTCCCCAAAAAACTAGAGAAAATGGAAGCGGTAGCTAAGACTAATAAAGCCAAAGTGGCTGTGAATCCTTGCTTAGCTCTGATTAACTGTGTGATCTTGGATGGGGTTCCTCAGTGCTCTGTGTCCCAGTTTTCTCATCTATGAGATGGAGTTGATAGTAATACTTACCTCTCTTTTTTATAACAGGGCTGAGCATTTTCACGTTTTGTTATTTTAATTTCGGTATAGTTAACATACAGCGTAATTAGTTTTAGGTGTGTAAGGCAGTGAGTCACCAGTTCCATACATCACCCTGTGCTCATCGCAAGCGCCCTCCTTACTCCCCATCACCTGTTTCCCCCGTCTCTCCACGCACCTCCATCTGATGACCGTCAGCGTGTTGTCTGTAGTTAAGAGTGTTTCTCGGTTCATGTCTGTCTCTCTTTTGTTTTCCCTTTGCGCATTCGCTCGTTAAATTCCAGAAGTGACGGGCGCCTGGGTGGCTCAGTCGGGTAAGCGTCCGACTCTTGATTTCAGCTCAGGTCTTGATCCCCTGGTTGTGAGATTGAGCCCCACATCGGGCTCTGCACTGACAGTGTGGAGCCTGCTTGGGATTCTCTCTCTCTGTCTCTGTCTGCCCCATCCTGCATGCTCTCTCTCTCTCTCTCTCAAAAATAAATAAATAAACATAAAAAATTCCACATATGATTGAAGTCATATGGTATTTGTCTTTCTTTGACCGACTTATTTCTCTTAGCGTTACACTTTTTAGATCCATCCGTGTTGTTGCAAATGGCAAGTAGTTACCTCACTTGATTTAAATGGCTTTCAACTTTTGTTGTGAAATCACAGGCTTATATTGTTTTCTTATGTGAAAGGAAGAAGAAGAAAGAGTCAATGATCTTCCATTGAAGATCATTTGCAAATTTGTAGAAGAGTCTTAACGGCTGTTTATTCTGTTTAGAAATACAGATATTTCAAGTATAACATCATTACCAGGGCAAGAAATTATTGACTATGATAACTGTTCGGAGTTACAGGTTACTTTTTAATGTCATTAAAGGAGCTGTGGCAGTAAATTCCAGTTTTTGGAGTCTTACAAAACCCCTTTTTTCAAAGTGTACTTCCAAGGACAGATTTGTTTAAATGGGATAGAACAAGTTGGTAATAGTTTCAAATAATCCTACAAGCCTCCCTCTTACACAGGAAAACAAAATCGGTATTTCAGTGAATCTTCTCCATCTCACATCCTAACTAATCAGATTCTTTGACCGAATTTTCTGTCACTGAACCACCTCTTTCTCAGTAGCCATAGCAAAGAGGTTATCTCTCTCTCTTCCCGAGACTCCTCTTCTTAATTATGAAGATTGGCAGTTGTCGATCTGGGCTCTGGAACTCTCAGCCCTAAAAGTAGGCCTACAGTTTCAGTTTTACTGACAGAAATGAGTGAGGGATGGGGCACCTGGCTGTCTCAATCCATAGAGCACATGACTCTTGATCTCGGGGTTGTGAGTTCAAGCCCCACATTGGGTGTAGAGCCTCCTTTATTTTTTATTTTTCTTAAAAATTTTTTTCTAATGTTTATTTTTGAGAGAGAGAGAGAGAGAGAGAGGGCGAGAATGGGGGAGGGGCAGAGAGAAAAGGAGACACAGAATCCAAAGTAGGCTCCAAGCTCTGAGCTATCAGCACAGGGCCCCACGCGGGGCTCAAACTCAGTAACTGCTTCAAGATCATGACTTGAGCCGAAGTCAGTCGTTTAACCAACTGAGCCACCCAGGTGCCCCAGAGCCTACTTTAAAAAAAAAAAGAAAAGAAAGAAAGGGACACCTGGGTGGCTCCGTCGGTTAGGCATCCAATTCTTGGTTTCGGCTCAGGTCATGGTCTTGCAGTAAGTGAGTTCGAGCCCCACGTCGGGCTCTGCACTGACGTTGTGCAGCCTGCTTGGGACTCTCTCTTCTCTCTCTGTCCCTCCCCTGCTCTCTCTCAAAATAAATAAGCATTTTTTTTAAAAAGAAAAAGAAATAAGTGAGGGATGAATAGGATTTTTCTGTGTAAAGTAAAATAAGGAACACGTAGCATTAATCTTCCACATCTTGTAGAGTCAGTCTAGGATTGTGAGAGGTAATCCTTATAAAACGCTAAGGACAATGCCTAGCACGTGTAAAATGCTTAATGTACATTGGTACCATCGTCTGTATCAGATGATATGCTTCACTGTTCTCCTCATTGCCTCTAATTATTTTGCCTTCTTCCCACTGGTCTCAAAGGAGGAAGTGACTCTGGCCTCTTCCCCTCCCTGATCAGCTGGTTCACCTGTGTTCTTAGCCCTACATCCATGCTCCTTCTCTACCCTCTTGCTTTGTTAGGTAGACCTTTCTCTTCTGTCTTCAACCATGTCTGCCACTTTTTCTTTTTTTTTTTTCC